GTTCATGAAAAATTTCCCCTCATTAGGCAAAGTAAAATTCAAATGTCGAAATTTAAATATTAAATTTTAGTGTTGCAGATGCAGCATAGTGTACTATTACGCTTACCCTGGAAGAGAAAAAATGCGAAAACTTCATCTCGTCCATTATTTAAAAGTGAAGATAAAAGGTAACGAAGTCAAGGTTTAAGTGTTCCACCCACATCTACGTCTCGTAGCGCCTCGGCGTAATGTCAAGTATTAATAATACAGAACGTTTGATTGCATTAGCCGACTCTCTCTCCCTTTCATTCTTTTCTTTTCCCATTGTGGACACAAGTTATAAAACTCCCGTTTTTCTATGAAAGGCATTGTTAAAAAATTTATTCTTTAACTTACTTATTCTCCGACCGTATTTTACGTGAATAATTCCATGACAATTTTCCGTTGTTTGCTCTCCGCTCCGAAACAAAAGTTCGGCCCCGAAAAACGTGCCATCAATAATTCTTTACGGGGTTAGATGAGGCAATATCCGTAATCACGTGAAATTTAATAATCTAATTTTAATCTAAGTACGTACTTGGTTTCGAACTAAAAGGTAAGCAGAAACGCTTACTAATTATATTATGAGTTCAATCAGCTTATAAATGGGTTCGATGAATGGCGTAATAGGATTATCTTTTCAATAATCGTCTAATTGAAGAATGTGTCAGGAAAAAGAAGGATTAAATTTAATTGCGTAACTGAGGCTAAAGCTTTTAAGTTAAGTAGAAAAAAACTAGTTGTCAACCGCTCGTAATGCACTTACGGTAATTAAAAGAATGACTTTTAATTAAACCTGAATATTTAATTACACACAACTTATAGATTTTTTCCATTTTATAATAAGACACATTTTTACTATACTTCGTGTCATGTACGTAGTCCGTACAGTGGAGGAATGTTTAATATCATTTATATCTCAACGATGGACAAATAACAAATACGTATTTAAACCAAATTGCCTAATTTTTAATGGAATTCGCTATTATATTAAGGATTCACAAATAACAATTTAACTTCATTCAAAATGTTAATCCCTTCCTGTTTAGAAATCACCAAATTTTTAATAGGATGAAATAATACAAGCCAAAATGCATTTGTGAGTATGGTGATTCTTGTGGCGCATTTGTGTAATAAGACAGGTGTTTGAATTGTACGGCGGAAATTTTGCGGGTTTCAAGAAAGTGGAAGTGGTTCGCGTGAACGCTTGTTTATAAAACGGGTGTTGGAAGAAAAGTATAGGGAGATTTTCTCCGGCTCGGAAGAATTAACTAGCTAGCATCTAATTTCAACGGTAACAAGGCCTTATAATGTTAAAATCATACAAATGTTTAAAAGTGACCTATTTTTTATTTTCGTCTGTGGAGTTTGATCAACATTATATTTGTTTTGAGTAGATTTACTAGGTTTTATTTGTTTATTTGGCACCACGTCAATTAAAAAAAAATAGGTAACTTAGTGAGTTTAATTTTAGTTATTTTTGTGTGGTCTGTTTGAATTAGACTTATGCGCCCAAAGAATTTGGAAGCATTGATTATCAATAATAGGCAAAAATTGTCTCAGATCGACCCGGAAAAAAATTTTCTTATAGAATGTGGCCTGTAGAATCCATAATTTCAAACAGTTCCAAGATTGGGCTACTACATCAAAAGTTACAGCCCTTTGAATTTTTTTCGAAATTCGTTTCTAGTCTATAGCTTCTGATTAAGAGGTCTGATCGAAAAAGTACGAATTAATTTGGATTCTACGCACCCAAATTAATAAGAAAAAGTGTTTTCCCGAGAAATTTTGGTGTAGTCGATTTTTGGTAAAAAAGGAAGGTTATACACTGCCTTCTTTTGAGCCCCGAAAAAAAAATTGTCTCAGATTGACCCGGAAAAAAATTTTTCTTATAGAATGTGGCCTGAAGAATCCATAATTTCAAACAATTCGAAGATTGGGCTACTAGTTCAAAAGTTACAGCCCTTTGAATTTTTTTTCGAAATTGGTTTCTAGTCTACTACTTTTGATTGAGAGGTCTGATCGAAAAAGTACGAATTGATTTGGATTCTATGCACCCAAATTAATAAGAAAAAGTGTTTTCCCGAGAAATTTTGGTGTAGTTGATTTTTGGTAAAAAAGGAAGGTTATACACTGCCTTTTTTGAGGCCCGCAAAAAAAATTGTCTCAAATCG